AAGGAAACGAAACATATTTAGGGTAGATGCATATTTACGTGCCAGGCTCGGGTCGTGCTAGCAACGTGCTCGATTGAGAGTACACATTCACATTAGACGTGCGAGCATGGTGCCAGACAGATGAAGAATATATAATAACGCAATGTGTAACTTTTTTATTTTTCATTATTTTTTAATGGGATCTTTTCCAATGCAAACGTGATCTTTTTCTGATTAAATTGAGACAAAACACGATAAGACTATATTGATTTTTATTAAAAATATAAATATACTTTTCATATTAATATTAACGTCATCCTAGACGAAATTTTTATTTTTGAAGTTTATACACCCCCAGTTTATACACCAATCGAAATGATTGTCTGATTTATAAATTTGCAACAAAATAACATGCGCCGTTTACTTATATAGAAATAAGAACAACCTTTTTTATATAAAAATAATAGGACAAAATTAAGTGGACACTTTTCAAAATGCAGTATCTTTTTTTAAAACTGACTAAAGGACTAGAATTTTTCTAAATAATAGTGGGACTAGTCTACAAGACAATGATTATAATGCTTTTTAAAATTTTTGCTATTATTCAAAATGACAACAAAAAGTAAAAAGCTCCTGCTTTTTGACTTTTTTATCTGAGCCAATAAATGCGTTTTGAAGATCTTATATCAGTACTGAAAATTTCATCGAAATTGATTGACCTTGAAATAAGCTGTAAACAATTAAAGATCGACCAATTAAAAAACGACCATCGTTTAAAAAAAATTCTAGTCGTTTAGTCCAAGTTTAAAAAGAGATGCTTTTGAAGAGATTCTTTTGAAGAACAATTTTGTGTGGTACTATATCTTGTCGATAGCCGATTTTCCATTTTAGTCTTTGTGTAAATGAATGTTACATTAAAATTTATATTTCATTGCACAATTGAAAATATGTCTTTTCAATGAGCAACTGGGTATTCAATATGTTCCGCGTTCAAAGCCGTAAAGGGTCAGAAAATTCCCTTTCAACCTCATCTGTTTGTCAAAGAATACCAATCAATCCATAATTGATGATGCACAGAGGATTGCCAGAAATCGAGCAATCATTTAACCTTCATAGATTCCTTCTCTTTTTGCATACTTTGTAATGTCGAAATGCTTTCTCGGGTTTATTGCCTGTAACGCTAGAACGAAAGATTGTGCACTCTGTTCACATCGTTCCAGTTCCGTAGTTCCGTCTCGCTTTGTATTAATTAGTGACAAAAAAGCCTGGCCCGGGCTTTCCTGCAAGTATGAACAGTGTAAATCAAATGTAAGAATGATTCGGCCTAGGAGCACGGCCCGAGCCTGGCACGTAAATGTGCATCGTTCCTTAAAGAATTGTCAAAAGTGTAACTGTTGTACGAGTCGCAAGACTCAATTTCGTGCTCGTGAAATGCACTTTGTCATACAAAATAGAAATACGATAAGTCAGAAAAATTGATTTGGATACACAGTTGAAACGGCTTCGAGTGCAAGAGAATAAATTTTTGCAAGCTACGGCGCAAAATATCAAGTGACAACTACGTTAAAAAAGCCTGGCCCGGGCTTTCCTGCAAGTATGAACACGTTTGGACGGTGCCGGGCGGCTTGGCGCGCTGCGAGCACGGCACGCGTAATGTGAACACTCCAATGTAAATCAAATGTAAGAATGATTCGACCTTGGACCACGGCCCGAATCTGGCACGTAGATGGGCATCGACCCTTACGAGCGCTCAGCAGCTCCGCCAGTCAATTTTGCAGCTTCTATAAGAACGGTATTCAGTTGTTCTGGTAGCAACGAGCGAGACGAAGCAGCCCGAAGTAAAATTGTTTCTTCCATCGTCCACGAGTTTGGAATCGAGGGATTCGCCACAGTGTTGCCACAGAGAGATTTTTCTTGCAGGAAGCCGTCGATCGAGAGGATGCCCGCGATCGGCGACGTAACTATTAGAGAAACCTGATGAAGAAACCACCGTCGGAGAGCGGACCTGGAGGGACTGTCTTTTCATCGGACGAGCGGAAAGGTCGCAAAAAAGTTCGTGAAACGGCGAAGCACGGTGGACGGGTGTGTTCGAGAGTGGCTCACGTTTCTCGGGGCCCCCGTTTTTTCGTTTCTTTAATCTTGGGCCGGCACGGCTCTGACCAGGTAACTGTGTCAGGACTGCTGTTCTGTGCCCGAGATCACCGACGCCGGCGATCGTTGCGCAACAAGCCGGAGAGCGAGCAGATCCACGAGGATCCGATGATCTAAGGTCTCGGGGCGTGTATATATATATACGTGTACACTGCGCTGCCATGCCGGCCTCCTCGATTTACCCGTCGTGCTTAGTTTCTCGGGCGTCTCGGGCAACCTAAAGCTAAGAAGCTAACCAGAGATTGACCCAGAAAGCTAGAACTTGGATAAAGTTTCCGCCAAATATGGCGGCGCAAGGATGAGTAATTCGCGCGAGGCGACGATCATCGGCCTTTCGGCTTCGCCGACTCACCGCGCGATTCGCTTTTCAATCGCCCGATGACGAGCTACGTTGTTTGCTCATCGTCGGTTTTAATTGCGATCCGATTCTTACACGGTTCAACTTGCCCGAAAATTCGCGCGATGTGCCAATGGCCAGTTTGTTACAGTAAAACATTTCCAGATACTGTGAACCATAAGTTCCCTGTTCGACAGAGAAAATTCAAGCTTGAATGAACCTGTACTCGATGTCGGAAGAAAACACTGCTTTATTTCCTCGAGGATATTTACAATAATTTCGGCTGAAGGATTTAAGTCCTCTTGTAATCGTTGAATCTATCTAACTGAATTACATTGTAATTCTTAAGATAACTAGTAATTGAATTAACTCGAAGATTTTAATTACTTAATTGAATTACATTGTAATTCAGTTAGATAGATATTACATTGCAATTCAGTTAGATAGATATTACATTGTAATTCAGTTATATTTTATTTGCATTACGTTGCACTTCAATTATATTCTATTTGAGTTACGTTGCAATTCAATTACATTCTATTTGAATTACATTCTAATTCAATTAAGAAATTAAAATCTTTAAGCTAATTCAATTAGAATGAGCATGATTGGAATACAATGTGATTCAAATACAATGTAATTGAATTACAATGTAATTAAAATACGAGTCTGAGTCCTGTCTATGTTTCTTGTACTTGTAACAATGAGTATCGGACGTATGATTGGTACGAAGGTGAATGTGAGTGCATGATTGCGTAGGTATGACAATTGAATGATATGGACCAACCAATCGATGTCATCGAACGGAATCGGATCGGTGCAAAGAGTCCTTTCGCGTGAACCCGGTGTCACTTTTCATTGCGAATGACAATGCAGTTAAATTACAATGTAATTAAATTACTTCGCAATTATAATTCCTTGAATAATCCAATTCCAATTCTGCACAATTCTCGCACGGAGGATGTCGAATCGTGCTTTTTTAAAAATTAATTATTTAGTAATTAATTAATCAATAATTAATTATTTAATGAACAGCATTCTATGCAAGAAAAACATGAGATTATACAATAAATGAATTTATCGGGAAACGGTTCTCACAGCGCAGAACGCGCGAGGAGGAAGCCCGCCGGTCGAAACCGAACTTGAAAACAAGACTCGGTCTCCTAACGTCTGAGCGGGCCGAAATGGCTCGCCGTAATCGATTCGAAAGTGGGGGACCGTGAACGAAACGGTAACGACTCCGGCCCGGTCCTAGGACAACCGGATCGTCGTCGCGCCGAAGAGAACCAAGGTCCTCGAGGTGGGGAGACGATACAGTTGCGCCGGTGAATTAGTGGCACGAAACCGAAGTAACTGAACCAGGATTGGTGGGGGGTTGGTCCTTGGAGGAGCGGCCCGAAGGAAGAGGAAACGGGCGAGGCGGGGGAAATGGAAACGATCATTCAAACGATCTATATCTTGGTCTCGCAACAAAGGCGCACGTGCGACAACTGGACCGAGCTCGGCCACAATGATCGTTGTACCCGGAGGACCTTTGGCAAAGAAATCCTGGTGACGAGTTCGTGTTCCCGTACCGGGAAGCTGAGTGGCCGCTGATTAGTGCTCTTTGGAGCGGAGAGTGTTGTGGAGGAAACGGAAAAAGATCCTTTTTTCTTCTTCTTCTTCTTCTTCCGTGTTGCCATAATACGCTGGCCAGTGGGTTTAGCAAAAGGCTGAAACGGGACGTTCGAATGGCTCGGCTTAAATGGCCTCATTAGCCATTCTTAGGCTCTCGATCGTTATTTTAATGCGTGATACTTAATATCGGTGCGCGCGAAGAATTTATGGATTTGAGAGCACAATGGAAAGAAAACAAAAGCAATACAAAGTTTGAGAAGTTGTGAAACGGCAATTTAAAATCTTCAGGTAGCCCTTCAAAGACATATCCAGGTGTTTTTATATACCTGGGTTTGAAGAAGCCCCTTCACAGAGCATAAAACTGTTCATTAGAAAAAGAAGGTGGAGGATAATCACCGTTTCTGCCAGAGGGGTTGCTTGTCCCTATTGTCGCTATCTTCTCGCAAATGTGTCCAACCGAATCAATTGTAGATAAACATTCGTATCCTCATAAATTCCGTCTCCCAATTGTGGGAGCCGAAGAAACTCGGTTCCTCCCGATTTCTTCGTCTCTGTCTCTGGCTTGGTGGGTGGGAGGATTCCGGTGTGTCCATCGGGAAGGAGTGGTGCAGTCCACCTCCGAAGCCTGGTCGCGTTGCTCCCTTCGCCGGCGAACGGTCGGGGAGGGAAGGAGAACGCCGAGGAGGAACCTGGCAGAGGAAACGGTCCTGGCTAGAAGGAGAGAAGTCGTAGCTGCCGTCGCAGCGCCGCCGCCGCCGCCTTGACGGTGGAGGAAAAAGGAAGAGGAGGAAGAGGACGCGAGGCTGCGGCGATAGAGAAGGAGAGGACGAAGAGATCGTGAGACGAACGACGGGGTGGGAGAGGGCAGGTCGCGTGCCGGCGTGGTGCTGCTCCGAACCTGAAAGGAGAGGAGAGCACTTACCTTCCCGACGTCTCTCACGACTCACGGTTAACACGCAGGGGAGCTCTCCTCTCTCGCTGCACACCTTCCTACCCAGACTACCAGCGTCCGCCGTGTGTGCTCCTCGTGGTTCACCTACCTACCTACCTACCTACTTACCAACCTACCCGCCAACCTACGGGTCCGTTTTGCTCCCCGCCCAGTCCGCGCACCCTTCTCTGTGTGCGTTCTCCTCGGGATCGCTCTTCTCTCCTCTCATCTCTCGTTCTCTCGTCTCTCGCGTCTCTCTCCCTCCCGCCCCGCCGCGTGTCACACCAACGCGATCCCGCGTCTCCGTTCCCTCTAGATCGCCTCTCCTCCGGTGATCTACTTTCATCTCTTTCACTCTGCCCTCCAATCAGCTCTCTCTCTCTCCCTCTCCCTCCAGCGGAGCGGCGTCGGTGCTCGCCGATACCGGGACCGTTTGCTCACCACCGCGCCGCGAGTACCATACGGTTCTCTTCGTGGTCGCCGCAGCGCCACGCCGCGCCTCGCCTCGATTCCTCCTCCTCCTACCTTCTCTCCTTTACCTCCTCCTCGTACCCCTCCCCTCAGGTGTACAGAAGGTTTCTCGCTCAGGTTAAGCCTCGGCTACGCGGCGAGTCGCGTCTCACGAATCTCCGCGAGAGCGCTCGCTGATATTCCGCTTCGTCCACGAGGCGGCCCGCACGGAGGGGGGATATCACACGCCTCGAGAGAGGACCTGGACAACGAGCACCAAACGATCGCCGGACGGTGCTCGGCAACGTGCTCGAGACTCCTTCCGATCCTCCGGCGCGCCACCAGTCAGGACTCCGCTGCTGTCCTGCCGACAAGACACGAGACGACGCGACACGACACAACACACGATACGACGCAGGACGCGGACACGATACGACACGAGACGACACCGGCGATCGAACGATCGATCGCACGATCGGACACGCGCGTCGTTCGCGGGGATCATCGCAGGATCATCGGTCCCGACCGGAAATACGCGGCGTCGCCCTGTGAGAACGATCGCGACCATGGATCCTCGGTGAACATCGCCCGAGCGGAAGGATCCCACCTTGGTTCTGTCGCCTTTATTCTTCGGGACAGGAGTGGGGCAGGATTTCGACGGGGATTTCGCCCCTGACCGAAGGGTGCCAAGTGAGACCAGGAGAGGGGATTGAAGAGTTCTAGTCGAAGGAGCGGCTTGGATAGATACAGTTTTAGTTCAGTGATCGACGGAGAAGCCTCGAACATTGGCTGTGAGAGATCAGAGGGATCTTGTCGCTCGAGCACGTGGTTGCCACGAGGCGCTCACCACCTGCGAACACCTCGGCAGCATATCGGCGGACAGTAATCGACGCTAGGATGTACGATCGGACGTTTCGATCTGGATACACGTAGGAGGTCTCGCTGGGACGAGGAAGAAGTGCCCTGAAGTGTGAGGATCTCAGTGTTCGTTGTTGTTGAAACGAGAGTGACCCTTCTCTTTCTCCTCCTCGCTCTTTCTTTTCGCTTGCCCTGCTCTTCTTCTATTGCCCGCCCGACAACGAGGACTCTGTGTGCTCTGTTTTCTGTCTCTCTATACCCTTGCATACTCCGTTTGATCGGTGGTGAACTGGCCAGCGTATAACAGTTGTGACACCGGCGACGACCGGGATCAAGAAGCGAAGGCGGTACGCGTCGAGGATCAAGAGGATCCAGAGGACACACAACCGGTGGGAAAAAAAAGTGAGAAACCGTTCGCCGGAAGTGCCCAACCATCTACCCCCGGCTTCAAGGTCGTGGAATGACGCATAAGGTAAGTCGATTTGCGCTCTTTCTTTCGACGTTTCTTCTTCCTCGTTCCGCTCCGTCCTAGCGAGAGAGTTAGCTCTCGCGCGACGCGAACCTCGGCCGGCGCCTCTGAATATTTATGAAGCCGAGAGCCGAGCCGAGCCGAGTCCAAGCTGGAGGAATCGGCCGGTCGGCCACGAAGAAAGCGCGGGAACCTGAAATTGATTGAGACGTTCCGTCCGGCTACCGTCGAAGAAATCGCTGGTCGTACTCCTGCGGATCTCCCGCTTCTTTTCGACCTCTCGCCGGCAAACGCTCAGTTAGATTCGATCGTGGATCGCTACGATTGATCGTAGACGTTCGAACTGGTACCCTGCGATTACAGAAACGACAGAGATCGGTTTCTTTATTAAATTACTTCGAATCAATCGCTGTTTGAACTCCCGAAGACTCCTCGCAGTTTCTTTTCGACTCTTAGATCCACTACTAGTTGGAGTATCGATTGATCTTCCGGAAATAACAATTACGTGTATTAACGTTTATCGTGCAATTCTAGAATTCATTACACAGACTCAGATTATTGCGATACGTTTCCATGAGTTATCGCTTTGTTCCGCGAAGAAACGACGCCGTCGGAAAAATTATTACACCGGCTAGATTATCGATAGATCTCGTTAACACATGAAACACGGAAAATACTAAAAATCTGTAAAAATCTCCAAAGGTTTAAGGGCTTAATCGACTTTTACCGGTATTTATAAAATGATCACGCCAAAATATTTATGTGAAAGAAACGATTTCTGAATCGACTAACACCGAATAAATCGCATTCGCGCGAACGCTCCGCTTTTTCTCCGTCAAATCGGAACAGCGTTCGATCTAGAACAACGAAATTAAAAAGAAGATCAGAATTCGATTTCTAAATCTCTCAGCTCCGAAAAAATCGCCCCGATCCGCATTTCTGCTAGTGCCCCTCCGTTTCCTCCGGCATCCTTTTACACCCAGAACAACGGATTCCGTGATCCTTCGACGATCGAATCGAACCGCAGAATCTGAATAAAAAGGAGCCCGTAGTTCGATTTCTAAATCGCCCTGCATCGAAGAAATCGCTCGATACCGAGGATCGAGTAGAAGGAAAAAAAAACGCGAGGATGACGAATGGATCTACGGATCGTTTCCCGTAACGCACGAGCGGCGAGCGACAAGTTTCACTCGCTCGCGGCCACGCCGCTCCAGCCCCCGTCTAATTCGCTCGGAACCAGTTCCGAAGTCGCGGAGCTCTCCGCGCGATTCCGAGCTGAATCCCGAGCTGAAAAGTTAAGCGCGCGGCCGCCCACGCCTCGTCCTTATATCACCGAACAGTTCGTTCTGCCGGTCAGCCAACGAGACACATGCGAAAGCTATGTTCCCGAGCTCGCCTGGCTCGCCTGGCTCGCGCGAGCGCACGCTTCCCGGCGTATTTCCTCGTTCATAAATTTACGCGCCTCCAGGCCGAGGGACTGCGCCCATTCGAGGGTCCCGGCGAACGAGAGATAACCCCGGCGAGAGGTGATCGATTATGCCAGACACGCGAAAACCTTTCCCGCTATTTGTAGGCGACGCGTTTTTATCGTTCAGCTATTTTCACTGAACTTTCCACCGGGACCTCCGCCAGGACCCGTTCGTCATTCGTGATCCTACGGAATGCTGGAATGCTTCCCGGTACTTTCTCGTTTGCTCCATTTTCAAAGTTCTCTTTCGTCTTTCGATGTTCGTTTCTGTCATAGACAAAATTAGGTATGGTTCAGCAAGATGTTTAGGCAGGAAGAGAGGATTTTCCTTAATATGTCGTCGTTAGATCACTCGCCTCTGTTGCTTAAAATAGCGCGAATCTTCTTGATTAATCATCATTTCTTCGATCGTAGTCGTACGTATGATTCTGAAAAGAACGTTGAACATTATCTGAGCAATTATGCAAAACAGAAAATAAAATCGAAGTCCCCAGACAATCATAAGAAACAGAAATTAAATGAAAATGTATTTCTTCTGTGAACAATTTCAATGAACGAAGAAAAACGTAAGAGAATATTTAAATTTTTCCAACGTCTTCATTAGTTTGCTACTTCACTTAGTCGATTTTGTCATCGCGCATAAAATCCACAGTCTTCTTGTGACACCCTGACGATGATGGAAATCTGCTTGAACATTTCGGAACATTTTTCTATACCGACTTCTAAAAGTGGATCTTCATGCAAAATGAAAATGTTGTGCATCGGTTGCAAGAAACAGGAACAGCATAAACGTTTACTCCCATCTCGAATAACTCGATTAACGTATAAATAACATAATCAGATTGTTAAGTTCTCCTAATCGTTTTGCGTTTCGCCTACTCATTTTTCTCATAAATGCATAAAACCCGCAGCCTAATTGTTATTATTTATTGAACGGGCAAAAAAGCCGTTAGATCACGGAGCGTAATATATCCAGTGATTTAATTCGAGAATACGTAGACGCACGAAATCCGCAGCTCGGGTGGGACAGATCGATTCGCCGTTCGAAAACGAAGAAAATAATGGCCGGGGAACGCGGATCGCGTTGGTTTCGCGCGACCGTTAACGGTGTTGTCGGTCTATTTCGATCGGCGTGGCCCCAACAACAAAAATCGAGGCGCCCCGGCCTTACCGCGCAGTGCCGTGCCGCTTCGCTTACCTGTTATCAATTAACTGTTAACGTGGCTGCACCCTCGGAAACCCGTAACCGCCTGGCTGCGTGCACTATCGAACCGGCCTGCTTCACTATGAATAATGTATCTCGGTTCGGGGAATTCGTGGCATTTAATCATTGGATCGTTAAGAGCGGACGGACGACCGACTTGCCGAGATTTATGCGGCACCCACGAATATCCCCGCGAAACCATGAGAATCTTCCGCGTTTTCATCCTCGATCCGCGATACCTTGCTTTCCTTCGACAGCGTTCTTTCTTCTCTCGCTGGCATTTCGTTCGTCTTTTGGACGAAATTTGCCGCCTGTTAAAAACGGCCGAATGCGACGAAAATTAAGGTTCTAACGATCGAAATATTCTTGCAACTTTCAATGCCTGTCGCTCGTTTCCGCGTGAATCCACTCTATCGCGTACGTAATTGATGGAAATCTACAAAATGCAGTTCAAGAGTTCTATGTATGAATTATAGCCAAAAAAATATCGTTTCTCTTTAAGAAATTCCAGTTGCTTGAATCAATCAACTCAACTTTTCACACGTTTCATTAGGTCAATAAAGAAACTAGCATACCAAGAAAGACTTTAAGGGTCGATGCACATCTACGCGAGCTCGATTGAGAGTGTTCACATTAGACGTGCGAGCATAGTGCAAGACAAATGAAAAATAGAGAATAACGCAATGTGTAACTGCTTTATTTTTCACTATTTTTTAACGGGACCTTTCCCAATGGAATCGTGAGCTTTTTCTGATTAAAATGAGACCAAACACGATAAGATTATATTGATTTTTATTAGAAATATAAATATATTTTTCATATTGATATTAACTTAAATATTTTGGGAAACCAGTGAAACATCATCCTAGACGAAATTTTTATTTTTGTAGTTTACACACCCTCCGTATCGAAATGATTGTCTGATTTATAAATTTACAACAAAATAACATGCGCCGTTTAATTATATAAACATAAAAACGATCTTTTTAATATAAAAATAACCGGACAAAATTGAGTGGACACTCTTCAAAATGCAGTATCTTTTTTTAAAACTGACTGAAGGACTAAAATTTTTCTAAATAACAGTAGGACTAGTCTACAGGACAATGACTATAATGCTTGTTTTAAATTTTGCTATTACTTGAAATAACAACAATTATCTGAGCCAATAAATGCGTTTTGTAGATCTTATATCCGTACTGAAAATGTCATCGAAATCGATTGAACTTGAAATAAGCTGTAAACAATTAAAAATCGATCATTTAAAAACCCACCATCGTTAAAAAAAAAATTCTAGTCGTTTAGTCCAAGTTTAAAAAGAGGTACTTTGTAGAATGTCTACTCAATTTTATGATTTTCGATTTTAGTCTCTGTGTAAATGAATCTTACATTAAAATTTATGATTCTTTGCACAATTGAAAATGTATTTTTTAAATGAGCAATTATGTTCCGCGTTCAAAACCGTAAAGGGTCAGAAAATTCCCTTTTAACCTCATCTGTTTGTCAAACAATACAAATCTATCCGTAGTATACAGGTACTCCGAAAAATCTTTCCTTTAGAATTTAATATTTTATTGAGGTATGACCCACGGATAATTGCGAGAAATTGAGTCACCATCCAGCCTTCATAGCTTACCTAGGTTTATTAGCTGCAACGCTAGAATGAAAGATTACGGACCCTGTCCGCATTGTTACGGTTCCGCAGTTCCGTCTTGCTTGTTTTGATTACGGCCAGCCCGGGCCGGCCTGCCTCCACTCCAATTTAAACCAAATATAAGAACGATTGGGCCTTCGAGCATGGCCCGAGCCCTGGCAGGTAGATGCGTATCGATCCCAAAAAGTAATTAGAACATACTGCTAAATAAAATGATAAATGTAGTCAAGTATTGGTGGTTAAATTTTCGTGAAAACGATAAGCCGCCGAGATTATCGTTAAGCCGACTTGCCGAGATTTATGCGGCACCTACAATTATCCCGACGAAACCATGACAATCTTCCGTGTCTTCATCCTCGATCCATGATACCTTGCTTTCCTTCGATAGCGTTCTTTTTTCTCTCGCTGGCATCACGTTCGTCTTTTGGACGAAATTTGCCGCGAGTTAGAAACGGCCGAATGCGGCGAAAATTGAAGTTCTAACGATCGAAATATTCTTGCAACTTTCAATGCCTGTCGTTCGTTTCCGCGTGAATCCACTCTATCGCGTACTTATTTGATGGAAATCTACAAAAAGCAGTTCTAGAGCTCTATATATGAATTATAGCCAATAGAAAAAAATACCGTTTCTCTTTAAGAAATTCCAGTTGCTTGAACCAATCAACTGAACTTTTCAC